AGGCTCTACATGGATATCTGAGTCCCACATTGGTATGCTATTTTGTTGTGTGATGATTTACTCTTTTGGCTTTTTGGCTCTTTTGGGGGGTCCACCACCCAGATCCCATATAAATGACACTCGGAGGCATATTCTTAGTTAGGAATGCCTGGCCTTAGCTTGGCTTGCTTCTTGCCAGCTTTTCTTAATGTAAATTATACTGACTGCTTTGCCTCTGGGCCTTTTCCTTTTCTTACTTCTTACATATTTTACTTTCATTCTCACTTCTTGGCTGGCTGGGCTGCTGACCCTGACACCCTCCGCCCCTTGTTCTCTTGTTGCTCTTTGTCCTTCTATTTACACTCTCTGCCTGCCAGCCCCAACTATCCTCTCTCCTGCCCACTATCAACCAGTCAGTGCTTTGTTAGACCATCAGGAGTTCTAGACAGGCAAAGATTCACAGCTTCACAGAGTTAAACAAATGTAGCATAAACAAAAGTCACACCCTCAAAATAATATTCTATCACACCACACATCCTAATAGTGCCACTCCCTATGAGCCTATAGGGGCCCTTTTCTTTTCTTTTCTTTTCTTTTCTTTTCTTTTCTTTTCTTTCCTTCCTTCCTTCCTTCCTTCCTTTCTTTCTTTGAGTCAGGGTTTCTCTGTATAGCTCTGTAGACCAGACTGATTTCCAACTCACAGAGATCTGCCAGCCTCTGCCTCCCTAGTACTGGGATCATAGGCATGCACCACCACTGCCTGGCTTATAGCGGCCATTTTCATTCAAACCACCACAAACACCCAAAAGGTCAGGTACAACAGTCTGGTACTTTTAATTACTGGGTAGTATTTAGATAAAACTTGGGCAAAAACCAAACATTTCAAAATAAACTTTGATTAGAAAAACATTTTAACCAGTTCTTGTAATTGTTATCAAGAGCAAATTGATAGCTCCATTGATTTAAGCAGAGGTTTAGCATTAGTATATTGGGCTTTGACCTTTAATATCATACATACAATCTCTAAGCCTCATCTCTTATATACCTTAAATAACATGAATATGCTCTCTAGTTTTCTTTTACATTCTGGAAGTATCCACCCACCTTAAAATTCACACACAAGTTTTTTAATCAAAATATTTTCATTTCTATATCCTTCTAATATTTTTTAAGTTACTGATTTCCTTTCTTAATACCATAAGACACAATCACACTAACAAATTTATCATTTTTTGTGGGACTTTTCCTTGTAGGGGCATGGGTCACTAAGCAATGTCTATTCCTACTGGATTCTTCACCCAGTATATATTACAGCTTCCTTATAGATGCATAGATGGAGTTCCATCTCCCTAGTTTTTCTTAGCCTATACACAGCTTATTCCCCCAAACCATGAGGCAACATAAGATTAGGATAGAATTACATATAGCCAGCTGGGAGGTACAAACTCAACTGTCACCAAAACATGGCAGGGTGACATCTCTTTCAAGGAAGGGGATCTGAACACTCCCCCAGATGGATTTCAAATTCTGAACAAGCCCCAAATCAGTAAAAATATTCTCAGGGTGGCACAAAGGGACACCCAAACAAAGCCAACATATCTCAGTAAGGCAAATTTTTACTCTTGACCAAAATGGTGCTCTAAAAATTGTAAACATGGTCCAGGAAGTACATTTGATTTTTATTTTAAGTAAGGTGGTGACTGTGTCTCTTCCCCATTGGCTGGGATCTGAAGTCATATGATTTTTGACTGGCTAGTTGAAAAAAATCAGAGCAAATGAAATGAGGGTAAACTGGAAGAGATCTGCAGCTAAGTCATTTTAGGTAACAAAGATTCTACCTGGCTGGGGAGGGATCAAAACATTTGCATAAAACTTTTTTTAGGTGGAAGATATAAAAAGATTGAATTCTTTGTCATAAACACTAGTACTAGTTTTACAACATTTTATAGAAAAGACCAGATTTAACATTTCTTAACCATCATCCCTACGCTGGTAGGGCTTTACTGGCCCTGAATACACCAAGTTGTGAACCTGTTGTTTTAGGTTACACAGCAAATTAGTTGTTCCTTTATAGACTGTGGATTGGTTTGTAGTTGAAAGACATGCTTCCAGTTGAGAGTTCTTTCTACTCCCAAGAATCAGTAACCCTGGCAGGGGCAGGTGACACACTACTCAAGCCTAAAAGCTTTGAAAGATGTGAAAACATCCTAAGATAAAGTCGAGGGTGACAGTATTCACATTCTAAGTCCAGCATTTCCCTGCTGTGAGTTCCAGGGCAGTCTGAAATACAAAGTGAAACAGTTTCAAATAAAAAACCCAACAGCAAGCAGGGTGGCATTCCCCTATAGAGGTTAAAGATGGAGAATCAGGAGTTCGAAATATAATCCTGGAGCTGGAGAGAAGGCTCTGCTGGGGTGCTGGCTGCTCCTCCAGAGGACCTGGGTTTAATACCCACATGGCAGCTTACAACTGTCTAACTCCAGTTTCAGGGAATCTGACACCCTCACACAGTCATACATACAAGAAAAGCATCAATGCTCATAAAATATAAATAATTATATAGGGAGAGCCACAGACTCATGGACAGAAGGGCCATGATTGGAAGAACATAGTAAAGAGAGCCATCATGTATAGCATGATGGGGACCCTGAAGGAAAAGAGACAGTTCAGTTCCAGAGAACAATGGGAGAAGAAGGTGTTGCTTTCAATCATTTAATTCAAGGCTGTATGGGCATTGGAGTGGCTGGGCTTCCAGTTGTAATGGGGATAGAGAAAACCAACTCCCTAAGGGCTGCCAACTCCCTGTAGCTGCCCTTGAGAGACTGCTGGGGTGTGGCCTGAGTTGGGGGGGAGGGAGCAGCAGTTAGAGGATCTGGGTTCTGGTACTTCCTGAGCACTCCTTTGCAACCCCCTTTGTTTTGTTGATTTTTCTTTAGACTTCTCTGAGATTGGGACTCAGGTAGCCCTGGCTAACCTCTACCTTGCAGTGTAGCACAGGATGACTTTGCTCCTCCTGCCTCCACCTCCCCAAGAGCTGGGATTTCAGGCATCAGTGACCATACTTAATTTGGTTAAGTACCCACAGCTTTAGATAGACTAGATAAGTACTGTACCCTGCGTTATATCCCCAACCTTCCTATCTGTTCTAAACAACCCTGAACCTTTGCTTTCAGGAGGCTAAGCTGTGCTGCTAGTAGTCACTGAGGTCATTGTTGTCATAGGACCTGTGATCTTAATGGTTATTTCCCTTCATTACTTCTCACCATTACTTCCCTCCAGAGAGAAGCCCTTTCCTCTAAGTCTCTTTCCTCCATATCTTGAGGTTAGGTACCTGGCTTGCTGTCTGATCTATGCCCCACCCAGTCCCTTTACTTGACACCTGCAGTGTATATACTAAGGTTGCAGATGTTGGAGGTGGGGTGGTAAAAAATTTCATAATCCCAAGAGAGGACCTGAAACAGACTTGGAAGCAAGATGGTTATATAGCCACAGGTCCCACAGAGAGAGGCGTTGATTCATGGCAGGCAGGGTCAGTGGGAATTCCTAGATTGGATTAAGTGGCAGAAGATAATGAGAGCCAAACCCAGCATGTAGTGATGTGGGCCTCCAACCCCACCATGTAAGATAGTGACATCAGTACTCCCAGCTCTTCTAAGGTGAGAGGGCAGGCATCTTGGCATTTAAAAGGGAGAACAAGAGACCCTGCCTCAAAAGAAGGTAAAAGGCAAGAACCAATGCCCAGGAGGACCTGTGGCCTGCACGTGTGCAACGTGTCACCCCATTTATCCAAACACACACACACACACACACACACACACACACATTAAAAAGAATGAGAATGAGCAAAGATTCTGAGGGAGAGCCTTTAATGGCATTTCATGGTCTCATGTAGCCACACAGTATAGCAGAGTAGTACAGCACTGAGCTACCAGCCACCCTTCCTTAGGAATCCATAGCTTCCTGCACATCAGGGTAGCACTCCACCAACTGTTTGTTCCTCAGTCCTAATGACCTCACTTTAAATGTTATATCACATTCATTTATCTTATGCATGTAGGCATGCAGGCCTCAGTGCACTTGTGGAGATCAGAGGACAACTTGGAGGAGTCAACTTGTTCTAACATGTGGGTCTAGGGGCTAGAACTTGGGTCATCATCAGAGTTTACCTGCTGAGCCATCCTTCTAGCCTCTAGTATCTTTTCTTAATAACAATCCCTCCTCTTTGTCTCTAGGAGGCATATTGGTGCGACAGGTGGTGACCAAATCATCAGGTCCCAGGACCTTTGACTCTTATGGTCAAGCCTGCTGCCAACCCCCCACCAAGAGGATCTCCACAGAAAGAGGAGAATTCCCAATAGTCTCCGAGTTTCTTTCATCTGTTTTTTCAAGGTGAGTTAAGACATTTGGCTTATCATCTGTCCTATGCCCCACAGCCCCTTTCCTCGACATCTGTCCTTATTAAGGATGCAGATGTTGAAGGGTGGTTGGTAAAGATCTTACAACCTCAGGAGGGGATCAGAAGGAAACTTGGAAGGAAGATGGTTATACAGTCACAGATCCCACCCAGAGAGGGGGTGGCCCATGGCTAGCCAGGGCCCAGGGGAAGTACCACGTATGTGCTAAGTAGTAGAATGCAAGTTGATGGGAGAATGTTCAGTGTGCAGATGTGCACATATAGTCTCAGCACTCAGGAGCCTGACGCAGGAGAATCACAAGTTCAAGGTCAGGAGGCTACGTGGAAAGTTGTAGAGTAACTCGGGCACTCAAAACAACAAAGTAGAGTATAGGGAAAAGTCTGAGGTAGAGTCTTTGCTGGCATTGCTGAGGAAAAGGCACACCTGGGCATAACAAGCTGGCAAACTGGAATAGTTCTGTGGCTACCTGACCCTAGATCAGTTAGGGGAAGAGAAGAACTGGTTTGAATGTGAAATTTAAATCAGGACCTTGTTGGGAATACAGGACCAGGTTGGTTTGTTCAGGATAGCCACACCCCTGATAGAGAGCAGTTTGTTTTTTGTTCCGTTTTGTTTTGTTTTGCTTTGTGGCTCCAAACAATAACCTACCCTAAAAGCATTAAGTCTCCAAGCCTTCAAGCTTTGGGAAATGCCAAAACATCCTAAGATACAGAAAGTAACTTGGGTGTGGTTATATACACCTGAAGCCCAGCACTCTGGAGGCCAGGGCAGGAAGCTTCCTGCTGTAACTCAGCAGGGTTAGAAAGTGAGACCCTGTCTCAAAATACAGAACAGAGCTGTGCATGGTGACACATGCCTATAATCCCAGCACTCTGGAAGCTGAGGCAATATAACTGCCAATGAGTCCAAAGCCAGGCTGTTCGATGTGGTGAGTTCCACAGCATCCAAGCGTACCTAAAAATAAATAAATAAAAATAATAAGTAAATAAATAAAATAAAAAACACAAGGGAAGTTGTTAATAAGTTAGCTGGGCATGTAGCTTAGTATCTGCCTGTACCACTAGCATGTGGAAGGCTGAGTCAAGAAGATCATGAGTTCATTAATTTGTCTGTTATTTTGTTTGTTTATCTGTTATTATTTTGAGGTAATGTCTCATATACTTAGCCCAGAATGGATAGAAGTTACTATGTAAGCCATAGGCTGTGACTCAACTATAATGAACTCCTTCTGTCTCAGCCTTCTAAGTGGTGGGATTTCAGGCCTGAGGTTTGACATCAAGCTAGGTTTCAAGTTTGAGCCATCTGAGCTATGGATTAAGACTCTGTTTCAATAATACCACTACCATACCCACTGCCTGCAATGAACTAGTATGCAAAAATACCATAAGAAAGAGACATAGAAGCAAGCAGAGCAGAGAAACCCAACTGAAGAGGCTTCTTTTAAACTGTCACTTCAGTTATAAATAAGCTGGGCAAGGGACCATTGTACTGTAGTCCCAGCTACTCAGCAGGCTGAGACAGGAGAATCACTTGCACTCTGGGATTTAAAATAGCCTAAGCAACATAATGCCATATCTACAAAAAATTTTAAAGGTCAAATGTGGTAGCACTTAGGAGGCTGGAGCCTGAGGACTGCTGAGTTTAGACCAGCTATGACTAAGAAGGGATTTCAGGCTAGCCTCATCTACATTATGAGACATTGTCTCAAAAAATGAAGAGAGTGCCAGGGATGTGAGTTGGTAGAGTGTCTGACTAGTATGCAAGAAACCTGGGGTTCAATCTCTGGTACTATATAAAACCAGATAGGTGGTGTACTCCTGAAATCATAGCACTCAGGAATAGAAGCAGGAGGATATGGAACTTGAAGTCACCCTTGTCTACTCAGCAGGTTCCAGGCTAGCATGGACTATATGAGACAATCAAACCATAAATCAACAAATAAAAATTAAATCACCCTACATACCAAAGCAACATTGAGCAAAAAGAACAATGCTGGAGGTATGGCCATATTTTAAGGTGTCTTACAAAACAGCATGGCACCTGCACAACACAGAAGACATAGGTAACTGACTAGAGACTTGGATTTAAGCCTACATAGTAAATTGATTTTTTTTAAAGATGCCTGAATATACAATGGGGGGAAAGCCTCTTTCAACAGTGTTGGGGAAACTAGCTCTGCAAATATATAGACAAGTGAAACTACATCTGTATCTTCTCTCCCTACACAAAGTGGATCAAAGAGCCTGATTTAGACAAACTCTGAAACTGTCAAGTAGGATACAAATGATTAAGACATGGGCCAGGACTTTCTGAAAAGAACATCAATCACTCAGAAATACTGCTAACAATTAACATGACTGCAGAAAACTAAATGGCTTCTATACACCAAAAGTAACAACTGACCAAAAGAACAGCCTTCAGAATGGGAGAAAATCTTTGCTAACTACACATCTGACTCGGGACTTATATCTACAATATAGACAGTTAATTCAAACAAGCACTGAATGTGCTAATGAAATGACCAGCCAGTTCTGAAAGGATACAGATAGCCAATAAACTTGAGAGAGGGGTGGGTGTGTTTTTAAATCAGAGTTTGGGAAATGGTAGTAGCTATTCTTCAAAATAGTTCCTACCTACCAATAGTCACTTCTGGCTGTCACACCATTGCCAAGTTCCCTCTCCCTCTGTTGAGACTGGTCTGTGTGATCCCTGTCACAGAATGAATATTATGTGACTTTAAGATGGATTCAAAAGACACAATGATCTTGTCCCTCTAATCTCTGTTTTAAGGGAATAAAAAACAATCACACCAATGTTTGAATTTAGAGACTCTTAAGTAAATTAGTATTTGGGGGTGATTTGTGGCACAGGAAGTTAAACTGTATTTCAAGCATCATGATGGCATGCGAGCTGGCCAGTAAAATTTTTGTTTACTTGCTACTAAGCAACGCTTATGATGTCATCAGGATTAGAACCCTCACTAGGTAGATCCTTACCTACACAGTGACAGTTAGCTCAGATTCAGCGTGACTTGACAGGTGAGCACACCTACTTTTGCTCTCTCTTCCTCCTTTTGATTTGGTGATGCTGGGGTCCAACCCAGGGCCTCTGCCTACCCAGGGCAAGCAATCTACCATTGAGTTACATTCCCCACCACTTCTACTTGGTTTTTTAGAAAATATTTTTCTTCCTTTCAATTTTTTGACACAAGTTATCACTCTATAGCTGAGGCTGGTCTAGAATACACAATGTTGTCCAGGTTAGTGTCTATGCCAGTGATCCTTCTGCCTCAGTTTCCCAAGTGCTGGGATTACAAAAGTGTACCACCATTCCTGGCTTGCCTTCATCACCTCCCCAAAGGTGAATAACTAAGGAGTTCTCACTGAAACTGACTCTTGCTAGCACTTGATTCAATCAAGATATCATACATGGTGATTTCCACAGTCAACTGCTGGAAAGACAGGGCTGTTCCAGTGTCTATCCTTTCAGCTTTGAGGTCTTAATGTCCGTACAAGAGGCAAAGAGCATGTCATCACAAGCTTGTTGTTTAAAAAAGGAAAATAACAAATTTTTCATGTCACAACACAAAGCTTCTGGCAGAGCTTTAACATGAAAACTTAGCCAGGTATGGCAGCACAACCCTGTATTCCCAGCACCTAAATAGGATGAAAGATGAGGGGTTTCAAGGCCAGCACCTACTACATACCAAGTTTAAGGCTAGCTGGGCTAAAGGGCATATATAGTCTGAAAAAAACGAAAACAAAAACAAAACCAACAAAGGGAGCTGGAAGCTGTCTCAGGCCTGTAATTGCAGCATTATGAGGCAAAGCAGAAAGGGGCAGCACAAGTGTAGGTCCTGCTCACAGCAGGGCTTCGTCTCAAAATAAATGAGGGGAAAACACCTATGCTTTAGTACCATTATAATAGTGGGTCCTCAAATAATGTCAGTTTTAGTCAAGTTTTAAAAATTTTTATTATATTCACACACACGCACTTGCACACGTTGGTGAATAAGGATGAAGTTTACTTAACCTGTGCCACGGTCCTTCATTTGGGGAGAAGATCGGATGTACCTAACTTGCAGGTTCCAAGTGACATTAAATACGCTGGCGTATTAACAGCAGGTTCTCAGGAACTCGTACCCCGAATTGTAATCTCCTTTGGTGAGCTCTGATCCTTTAGTCTTGGCTCCTAGGAGATTTGGTTCAAATTAACCTTGCACCAACTGTCTTTTTTTTTTCAGATCGATATTACTCGACTGTCAAGTCAGCGAATCTGTGCGTCCGCTCCGGATAGTTTTTTTTTTTTTTTTGTTTTTTTTTTTTTTTTTTTTTTTTTTTTTTTTTTAAACTGAGGTAAGCTGGAAAAACATTCTCCAACACGCTTCGCGCGGTTCTTAGCTAGAGCCACAGCTCAAGCTACCTAGATTCACATCCCGGTCCCTTCACCATCACCAGGTGCTGGGTCCGAGGGGATTAGTCAATAACGGGCAAGAGCGTCCACAATACCCTAAGCATCACTGTATTTGAGCTCCTAGAGTCAGGAGTTTTCCGTTAGTAACGCCCACTGCGCGCGGGATGCAGGGACAGCCGCAGGCGCAGTGCGCTCGACCCCCCCACTAGGGACCCGTAGGATTGGGGGGGGGGGCTGGGCGCACTAACCGGAAGTGTCCCCCTCCCGAGCGGAAGTTCCCTATTGGCACCGGATGGTGATAGAACTTCCGCTGGCTCCGCCCCTTCACTTCCGGTAGGGAAGACTGGATTGGTCCCACATGGGCGAGAATTGGCTGGAAGGTTTTAATGGTTTCGTTTTGGGGCGGCAACCAAGGGTCGTATTAGACCATGGACTCAGGCTTCATCTTCTGTTGCCCTTGCAGACTTTTTCAGAGAGCCTACCCTTTGACTGTCACACCTAATTTCAGTCTTTATGCTCTAAAAGTAAGCACTCTGTCCTGAACACTACACATTCATGTAATACATATTTTAAAAATCACCTAGGTTTGATTCTTTTGTCTTAATCAAACATCACGAGTAGGGAGTCTGGTATGATGGCTCATGTCATTAATCCCAGCACTAGGAATTCACTCACTTGAAAGCAAGTGAGTCAAGAATTGTAGATCATTCTGTGGTATAGCCCATTTAATGAGAGCTTTGAGCTACAGTTTCAGAAAAAGGGAAAGAGGAAGGACAGAGGAGAAAGGGGAAAAAATGAAATGGTGAAAAGTCACTGGTTTGCTGTTTGCTATTGACCTGTAACCCCAAATACAAAATAAAGCTAGTCTGGACTATCTAAGTCTTGAGATTCATAAGCTTATGGTTCTATGCCGTGACCCTAACCCATAGTTTGCTCTTCACATTGCCACGTCATTAAGGCAACTTAATTATAGCAAAAGATTTATAGACCTAACATTGCAAAGTTATGGGATAAAAGGATGGTAGCAGCCTACTGCCTTAACATTAACCAAGACTAGTAAGGTATCCATATTTGTAATCTGAAAACATGGGTGATAAAGACAGGCTAGGGAGGAGGTCTTCAATTGCACAATCAGGTAAGGACCATCCTGGGCTACTTGAAACACTGAAAAAGCTTAGCCAAGCAAGTATGTGTATTGCAAGGGTATTATAGCAGTTGTTAAATAGTCCATAATGAAAATGAAGGATTGAGTTTGAACCAAAGGTCTTCTAGGAGACTAGGGGAAGAGAGTAGCATCTTCCTCTAGCCCTGGTGAAAATGGCTCTGGGATCATGTGTTTACTTGGCCTGTCTCGTATAGGAGTGCTACTTTAAAGGCTATAGCAGGCTGTTTAAATTATAATCGTCACAGGTCTCTAGTTATGCCTACAATGGAGAGTCTGTGAAATGACTGTAGTGAAATGACTGTAGTGTTGAGTGAACTAGAACCACCATGAAGGCAGTACATCTAGTCTGTTTGTTTGTTTGTTTATTGCTTTTTGAGACAGTTTTTCTGTCCTGGAACTCACTCTGTAGATCAGGCTGGCCTCGAACTCTTAGAGATTGGCCTGCCTCTAGCCTCCCAGGTGCTGTGATTAAAGGTGTGTGCCATCACCACCCAGCTGTTATTTTTATTTCATATTTTTTGAGAAATGTAATGTAGGCTGGCCTATAGTGAACAACAACCTTCATCTTCTGATATGCATCTCCCAAGAACTTATTTACACACATACAAAACCCATAATTATAAATATAATTTTCATATATACATATACATAATTTTTGTCCAGTGACACCTGAAACAAGCTCCCAACAGAGGCCCCCTACCTCCTTATATCTACCTTTACATGGGCAATTCCTTCAACCAAGAAAATCCTTCCTTCCCCAGGCACATAGACTGACACTCATTGTTATTAGAATGTGATCAATTAACTTAACCTAGAATCTATAAAATGAAAATTATAAGGACATCTAAAACATAGTCTTGTTGTAATGACTATATGACTTAAAAGATCCACATAAATTAAGGGGGAAAGCTGACACATACAAGAAGATAACCTTTGAAATCAGACACACCAACTAATACTTCCAAGAGTGCTGGGAGGAAATGGGCCCCTGCATAATATTCATGTGATGCTAGGGAAACCAAGGGTGGTGGCTGGGAAAATGGTTCATGCAATAAGAGAATTTATAGCATAAGCAAGAGGACATGAGATCAAATCTCCAATATGCCCATGTAAAAGCTAGGAATGGGCACACATGCCTGGAAATAAAGCAAAGAGGAACAAAAGCAGGCATACCCAAAATAGTAAGCTTTAGATTTACTGAGAGGGCCTCTTTAAAAAAAATAGGGTATAACTGGGCAGTGGTAGCACAGGCCTTTAGTCTCAGCACTTGGGAGGCAGAGGTAGGCAGATCTCTGAGTTCAAGGCCAGCCTGGTCTACATAGTGAGTTCCAGGACAGGATCCAAAGCAATACAGAGGGGGGGGGGAAAGATATAAAGCAAGAAAGGATGACATGTAATGTCCTACTCTGATCACAACATGCATGAAAATGAGTGTGTGTATAGGTATATAGGAACATGTATGCACATACACAGGACAGAGAAGAAACCAAGGTTTTCACACACAATAAATGAACACAACACAAACTGGGCAACAGGAACAGAGAGACGTCTTAGTGAGTAGTGATGAATGCTAACAAGCCTGATGACCTAAGTTTGAGTCCCCAGATATAATTTGAGTCCCCAGATATAAGAGGAGAGGAACAACTTTTGCAAGTTTTCTCACTTCCAAATATGTACTGTGGCATTTGTGTGCACATACATATGCATACACATAAAAGCTATAAAACATTTTTTTAAATAAAAAATGGGTGATGTGACCAATTTAAGATACTTAATGAATTTTTCAAATACTTGTTCCTAGGAGGCTTGTTGTTGTGTGTGGACAGTAGGGGCCAATACCATCAGGTTCCAGGGCCTCTGGCACTTGGGGCCAAGTCCTTTACTGGACCACACCAAGAAGATCTCCTCTTCAGTGGTTTTCTCCAGAGCCTCCAAGTTACCATCACCTATACCTTGAGGTGAGTTACACACTTGTCAACATGTGACCTACATCCCTGCATGAACTTTCCTGGACACCTGCAATAATACTTAGTGGGAGATAAAGAACTTAGAGCTTCTGGAGAGGAGATAAAGGACATGTGGGAAATTCAACACAAAGAGGAGGTTACCTGACAGGCAGGGATGTCCAAGGTTATACCAAGAGGGAGTACAAAGACAGTGTGTAGTAGAGTGGGTTAAGAATTTTATCACTCAGTGGCTGCAGGTAGAAGCTGTATTAATTCCATGAAAGCCTGGAAAATAGAGGATGTTCCAGAGTAGCCTGGACTTTCAAAAACAAGGGATGTAGAATATGAGGGAGATGACTTGAAGCAAAGAAATTCCTTTTACAACAACAGAGTTTAAGTCCCCCAAATACATGTAAGATCTGAGAGAGAATTATAGACCAGTTCTTCTATGGTGAGATAGTACAGAAGGGAAACTATCTGAAGTTTCTATGCATCTAGCCTAAAGTACATTCAGAAAAGAGACCTGACTCAAAAAATATTGTCATTGGGGACCAACACCAATGGAAGTCCTGGGTTATCCATTAAAGGAACCATGGCATGTGTTCAGACTTCAATGAGCTAAGATTCCAATGGACAACATTAAATGGTATTTCATGGTTGTGAGGAGCCATGATAGATTACAAAACACATGATACAAACAAAATGACATTGAACTAATGATCAAAATACCTCCATCTTTGAGAGTGACATCTTTGAGAGGAAAAATGCTATAAAATAGAGTAAACCAAACACTATATGAATACTTTGCTCTAGTCAGAACATCCATTACTATTTAAAATATTTATATTAATGTACATTCTGCAGAGGTAGGGAGAAAACAAATTCTAATACACAACACAGTAAGGGTAAAGTGATAAAGGTCACAAGGAACGCAAAGTGATCAACACAGACTGAGGGAATTGATGATTGGAGTCTAGAGTAAACGGGAAGAAAAACGACATTAACTGAAACATCTTAAGACAAAATTTATTTCATGGATGAAAATCATGAATCTTTCTACTAAGAGGCTCATCGGTGCATCCGGCCAGTAAGGACCTAGGCCATCAGGTCCTAGGACCTCTGACCATCTGGATCAAGTCCATTGCCGGATCCCAACAATTGGAGACCACTTACAGGAGGAGACTTCCACAAGCCTCTGAAGTTATTCCCCCTATTCCGAGCGGTGAGTGATCCTTGGATTATTATCTGTACCATACCCAAAAGACATAACTCATCCATAGACACATGCAGGGTACAACACTGCATGTTGAAGGTAGGAGGGGAGGGACATTACATTCCCAGGAAAGAATCTAAGAAGACTTACAAGGAAGATGATACAGCAGTCACACAGCCTACACACACAAGGAGTGCTTCCTGTGCTAGGCACGGGAGTGGAGACTTGGGATGGATGTGGAGGAGTGGGACACAAGAATGTGGGCGAAAAGATCATGTGGCCAAGGGGTTGGGGGGTCCATGAGATGTCATCCCTCAGGAGGCTCACTCGGATTTCCTGTTGAGAATTAGCTGTGGAACCTAAGATAGCCCAGGCTGGCCTGGATCCTCAGCACTGGAGGAGACTGAGTGCTGAGGAGATGGCTTATTGGGCATGACCCTTGCCAACCAGCCTGAGCATCTGAGTTGGAGACACATATCACAGGCAAAACTGAGGGAGGTGGGTAGGTCAGACTCTGCAGGTTTGTGTGGCTGCCTGGGAGGAAGATACGATACAAGCAGTCTGGCAGCTCAGAGGGCAGCAGGCTGGGAGGGCACCGTGGAGAAAAGGCTCTGGACCAAAACTGGGGAAGCCTAGGACCACATTCTATGATGCCTGGTTTCCTCAAATACTTGCAAGAGACACTGTTGCACCTCCTCACAGGCGATGATGAGCCTGTCCACTCTACAGGAGACACACAGGCATGTACAGATAATGACATGGAGTAGACACAGTAAGGGCACCTTGTGAAGGGAGAGCCTTTAATGGCACTTCATGGTCACACGAAAGGAGTTGGGATGGCCAGCG